TTAAGTGCTGGTGATCTATCAATACATTTCTACCCTCCCGATGGCACGAAACAAAGAAAAGGCTATTGGAAAACTATGCTTATGGTAGAAAATTAAAAGAACTAGAAAAGATAATGCGGTTTTTGCCAACTAAAGCGTACACGTTAACAAACACAGAGCAAGCCCTTTGCCGTCTGGGAAACAAGCACTGGCCCAAAGCCAATGTAAGCTGTTTGGCCACGTGCTTGCCAAAGGGTAGTGACACACACTGAATCTACGGTGATTGGTTACAGTAATGGAATCACTTCAAATTAAAGCTAATCGAATATGTAATTTTACATGTCCCACAGTTCAGTTAGCTGAAACGTAATGTAATTAACTTTGTCCCGAATTAAGTATGAGGGCAGTCTGGCTCTACATTTAAAATGATGATACAAATGATGGAAAACCTACCAAGTCTTCCTGTATTATATATATGGAAGCTAGATGAACATACTTGGTGTTTTCAGTTTTGAATCTTGGAGACCGGAGCACAAGAAACGCCATTATTTTCCAATACACACATGGCTTTATTGGTTTTTGAACTGCTTCATAAAAAATGATTTATATACGTTACTTTCAACAGCTTCTCCAGCATGTACTTTCAGGGACTCCTGTATTTCTTCTCTCATGAATCATTTATTTTATTTTTTTGAGAGGTGGGGAGAGGGAGAGAGAATCCTAAGCAGGCTCGATCTCATGAACTGGGAGATCATGACCTGAGCCGAAATCAAGAGTCGGACGCTTAACCGACTGAGCGACCCAGGCGCCCCTGTCGTCAATCATTTAAATAAGCATAAAGCAGTTAGCAGAAAGCTGGCCATGTTGATTTTCAAACTTTTCAATGTAGCAGATGGAATCAGTGAAATCTGGGGGGAAATGTGATTCGGTACAACTATCTGGCTTCTGAAAGTGTTGGCTTTTAGTATCTTAGATTTTATCTTATTCTAACAGATACAAATTTTTAAAGTTGTATGTGCAACTTTCAATTCAGCATGTGCAAGGTTTCTATTTGATACTCTTCTTTTATAGTGCTTCTTCTGCCTCGTATAATGCAAGAAAGAAAGAAACTGTTAACTACTTGAAGTTATGAAGATACTGTCCTGTGCTTTCAGATTTCAGAAGCTTTTACTCTGGGTTTTATGTTCAGGTCTATGATCCAACTCAAACCGCTTTTTGTATACGGTATGAGATGTACGGATGAAGGTTCATTTCTTCTCCGATACGGATACCCAGTTGCTCAAGCACCGCTTGTTAAAACAACCTGCCTTTCCCCATCCGGCTGGCTCGGTACCTTGATTGAACATTTTTCGATTATGTGCATGTGGATCCATTTTAGAAATCTCTATATTTTTCTACACTTACATCAATACCACATCGCATTTGTTACTATAACCCTATAGTAAGTCCTGAAATCAGATATGTAAGTCCTCCAGATTTTTGAGATTCTTTTGTTCTGGATTTTTTGCCTTTCCATATGCATTTTATTTTTTTTTATTTGAGAGAGAGAGAGAACATGAGTGGGGGAGAGAGGTGGGGGGGTGGGGAGGGAGAGGGAGAGAAAATGAATCTTAACCAGTCTCCACACTCAGTGTGGAGCCTGATGCAGGGCTCGATGTTCGACCATGACATCATGACCTGAGACAAAATCAAGAATCAGACGCTTAACTGACCGAGCCACCCAGGCACCCATCCATATGCATTTTAGAATAAACCTGCATTTTTTTAATACTCAGATTTTGAGTGCGTGAACTCTATAGGTCAATTGGGTGACGATGGATTTTTTTAAAGTTTATTTTGACAGAGTGAGAAAGCAAAAGTAGAATAGGGTCAGAGAGAGAGAGAGGGAGAGGGGGAGAGAGGGAGAGGGGGAGAGAGAGGGAGGGGGAGAGAGG